CCCCTTCCGCGCAAATGGGGGCGGGGGGGGGGAATTATGAAAATTATTCTACTTACTGATGTTATTTTAAACGTCAGACTACTTGAGCAAGAGAATGGCCGGAAAGTGCAGAAAGGGAAGGAGGAGGGGGAAAGGAGAAGGGGGATAAAGAAAGGTGAAAAGAAAGAGAGAGAGAGAGAGAGAGAGAGAAGAGAGGAGGAGAAAGAAAAAGAAGAATAAGGAAAACCAAAGTTACCAAAACAGCAGCGCTGATCAACATGCACACATATGGCCATGAGTATTTGTTAAATAATGAGAATTGAGACACTGGGAGGCAATAAGAGTCAGGCTAAGTCCTTAACTCTGACTAGAGTCTTGATACCTTTCAGCTAAGAAATTATGCCTTTCCTTTTCAAATAAATATTCGCCTCTCCAAAATATTCCTGAGGGTATAGCCTCACAATTACATCCAAGTCTTCATTAGCGTTGCTTTAGTTACTTAGCGTTTAGTTACAGTTACTTGGAATTAGAACCTTGATAATTATTTAGTCTCTCCGCCATGGAAGGAGACGGGCAAGTTTATTTCACTGGCTATCCATCCAGGCATTATTTCTCATTTCAACTTGGAGCCAGATTCTTTTCTATACTAAATATTAACTGCTCCTTTTGTAAATGGATGGATGTTCTGTTTCCTCGATGATGTGTATATGAATGTTTGCCTAAGGGAAGGGCAACCTGAGAAGAGGGGAAGTGGGCATAGGATGAGGGTCCCCTACATAGTTTTAATCCTCCCCGTTAAAAGTGCTATAAGAAATTGCCCTGGATGGTGGGACAGACTAGAAGTCTACTTACTATTGTGTGTGATGGAGGTGGGGCAATGTTTATCCATATGTGGTATAACTTCCAGATTTTAAACTATGCCTCTCAACTCTCCCATCCTGTCCAGAATTTTCTATATTATTCATCAAGCTATTGCCATACTGTTGTGTGAAATTTATGTTTGTGTGTGTTTTACACACACAGACACACACACACAAAGATCTGGGGGGGAGCAATGACCTTTTTGTGAACATCCTTTGTCTTGATTAGCATAATTTTCCTAGCCTCTAGTGCCTCTCTGGCCCTTCACTCTTTCACTGCCTCTTTCTTCTCACTCCATCCATTCCATCCCCAAACGCCCCCACCCCCGCCACCCCATCATCTCTCCTGCCTGCCCCGGACTTTCCGAGGCAACTGCCTCCTTTTTCCCAACAAACGCCCCCTTGGGCGTGCAAGGTTGCACAGGCAGCCCTCTGCCTTTTCCCAGTGATCCGGTCTAGGAGAGAGCTTGTCCGGGGGTAGCGAGGCACGACTCTCACTCGGCCCCAGGGGTGAGGTGGAGGGCGTGGAGGTTGGGGCCGGAATGAGGTAAGGACAGGGCAAGGGGGGGGGGACACACTCCACCAGAGGCAAGCTGAAGAAAGACTTTCTTGGGTGTCCCTTTCCTGGTGGAGGCAGGGAGCCTACGGTTCTGATTCTTGGGCTCGTCCTGGCAGAAGTGATTTGAACTGGTCCCCATCCCGAAGGAGCAGAAGGCACTTAGTTGCCAGGGCGGGAGGGGTTAAAGGGAACGGGGGACAGCCTGATCCCCGGGCTGGCAGGGAACGACTGTCGCCTAGCCTCCAAAGACCAATACTGGCTTCCGCCTCAGTCATCAGAATTAAGGTAAGCAAGCCCCAAATACGTGGCTATCAGTGGTGAATGCCGGAGTTTATGTCCTGGTTGATTTATGACCAGAGACTTAAATCTCGGTTCAAGAAGAGTTCACAGGCTGGAGCTTCCTTCCAGGCAGTGACGGATAGACCATTTCACGTTGAGTTCAGGCCGGGTGCCCCTCTCCCTTCAACTTTTCTTTATCTGGCAGGAAATCTTCAGCCGGCCGAGAGGAGGCCAGCGGTGGGGAAGTGGGTGGGGAATGCAAACGGGGGTCCCCCTGCTTGGACCACGATTTACAGGAGGGGTGGGTAGAAGGGTAAACCAGACAAGAGCAGAGAAAAGGGGCTCAAAACCTATAGTCTGGTCTGCCAGCCAGGTCAAGAGATGATTTTGGATTCAACCCGGTAGTTTCTGCAAGAACTCCAGGAAAACTCCTGTGCGTGAACGGTTACTTTTCATGACTTGTGGATCGGGCCAATATAGTGGTGATTGGAAAGGTGGATTCTTTGTGTGGCCAAAGTTTCCAAGAAAACTTTGCTTTGCTTCAGAGATTTTAGGAGAACATCCCTCCATCAAGTGCGGATCTCGTTTTTTTTCCTACCCCGCACTCCCCCTCCCCCCCCCCGCCCCAGTATTCCTGAACCAAATGTACCATCCAATGCAGTCTTTCCAGAGAGCCCATCTCACTTGTTATAATGTGTCTTCTTCCTAAGATGAACAGGAATCGGACTGGGCTGTAAGGTTGCAATCCTGACCATGGGTACAAGAAGTATGTTCCTTTTAATCAAAAGGGAGATGGTTTTGGAATAAACCTGTGTCAAATAGATACTATGAAAAAAAGCAGGCATCAACTTGCAGGTTGGCAATATAATCTACTATTACTAGAAAGTACAAGTTTGAAGTCACACTTTGAAGTCATTGGGTTTGCAAACAGACGTTTTGGTGATGGAATAGTGCTTATACAAGTTTCCCTCACTGGCTGTTTTTGTGTTTTCTTGAAACAAACATTTACTTTTAGTGAAACAATTCTGTATATAATGTGAGCCTGTGTATTAATTTTTTTCTGTCTCTAAACAAAAGCTATTTCCTCTGTTACGGGCAATGTTGTCAATTGCTTTTTGTTTGCACTGACTATCCACAAACAGGAAGGGGGCTGCCTGACTGTCTCACCCCAAAGTCACTTTTGCTTATTTTTTCCCTATTTACAAGCAAAAGAGACTTTGGAGACCTCTTGTAAGAGTTCTTTCTGCAAAGGACAGAAAGGAATCAGCCACCATCTTATTGTTTCTTAATTCAAGAAGTGAACTAACATTTCCACCCTATCCCCCACTCCCAACAAAAGGGCAAAATGTTAAAAGTCTGAAATTAGGAAGGGCTATTAGAAAACAGATAGTAACACTCAGGCTCCCAAGTCAAATTCAAAGTAAAGTTCTGGAGTTTAAAGTAAATTTACTCCCAAATCAGATAATGTCAGTTCCCACCCAATCCAAACTGCAGCTGTAATTCATCTTCTATATTTTTCAATACAGGTTGTTTATTATAACTTTTTAAAGACTTGATTGTTGTTTTTAAAACCAAGCAAACAATAAAAGAAGATAACCTCACCCTCTATTGAAGGAAACTGCCATCTGCAAGAGGTTTACTAAATCAGTCTGTCTCTCATGTGTGCCTTGTTTTTGGGGAAAAAAAAAAAACTTGGGTGAACTGAAATTCAAACTCCTGCAATTAATTTGAGTGTGCTTGTGAGGTTATGGTGTGTAATATATCCCTCCAGCAAGATAACCTGGCAGCCCACTGTTTTGACTGGAACTTGAGTTGGGGATGTTTGTGTGAATATGAGGACTTTTGAGAGAAGGCGTGGAAGTGATAGGTTTTTAACCGGTGGTTCGGATGATCTGTAAAAAGTTCTTCAATTGCAGATAAGGAGTCTTCTGAAATCCCACCCAACCTCTTCTCTAGCTGATTCTGCTCAGACAGGTAAACATTGTTGAGTGAACCAAAAATATTTGCCTGGTTTGTAAGAGTGTTTGTGGTTTTTGTGCACCCATTCCTCTGTCTGCATCCAAATGACCTCCATACATCAAATGACACTGCAATCTCTGCGACAGAACCTATTATGGTTGAGTTAGGAGGAAGGTTCAAGCTGTGGTCATGGAGATGGACACTAGCGGGTGTGCCTTTTTCCAGATATTTGTGAATATATTCATGAAGGAGGGAAAGGGGGAAATAATAATTCAAAACATCTGACCGACTGTGCAACCAACCATAATAGTAATAATGTCATGTTTGATACACCCCTCAAATAATTAGACCGGGATCCTGCAAGGATACAAGCAACCAAAGGGACAGGCCTGAAACTTCCCACAAAGGAGCTCTAACTGGAAGATAATTTCTGACTGTTACCCGTTTGCTACATGTGGAGACTATTGGATGATAGAGGCCAGATTTGTGTCCCTGTCTAAACTGGCAGCAGTTAAAGCTAATTTATGCGCAGGAAGTTGGCTGATTATTAAGCAGAGAAAGCTCAGGATATCCCCAGCCACTGTGCAGTTTCATCACAGGAGGGTCATTATGGGTTCCATTTATCAAATCTTTTGGTTTCCTAGCCAACATTTCATGAGTTCGAACCCCTCCAGCGCTGGATTGTTGAGTCACTCTTCGTGGTGAGCCTTGAAGATGCATGTATTGATTTTTCTTTAAAAGGCATTGTATCCAACCCTTTAAGTAAAGTACAGCAAGATTTTCTTTTTCTTTCGATAAATAAGGGAAACAATATGATATTGCTCGAAAGGAAAGCAAAAGGAAATCGTAAAAGTGGTGCTTTGAAGCGCTTCATAGTCTTAAATCAGTTATGGAAAACAATCTGCTCCAACCTCTTTCTTATCTGGAGGCCATTTATTGCAGTGATCGATCAGAGCCCTTTTTATGGGAGAAAAGATAAAACAATTCTTAGCCTGCATGTGGATGTGAGTGTGTGCGTGATTAGAAATCACCCAATTCTACTTTCTCTTGGATCTGTAAACCACACAATCTGGGCTGCCAGTAAATCTCTGCATATCTCTTTCTATTTCTCCCTCCCCCTCCTCTTACCGAAATTCTCTTCGCCTTCAGGCCAAGTCATGCTGCTAAATATTGCTGACCACTTTTTCTGTTATGGCTTTCATGTCACTTAGCTATTGAAAGTAAGATGGATTTGTACTATTTCTCCACTCTCCTGTGCTTTCCCTACACCCTAGGTCTACAAGGAGAGCCCATTGGAGGAGAGACGTCATGTGACAGAGTGGTGCCAATGTTATTCTTTAAGGGTGTCAAGACCCTGTCAGTTTATGAAATAAATATTGGGAAACAACGAAATGCAAAAAGCGACCTACTACGACAGCTCTGCGATCTATGGAGGCTATCCCTACCAAGGAGCAAATGGTTTCGCTTACAATGCTAGTCAGCAGCAATATTCTCCGCCTTCTGCTTCAGCGCTGGTGGAAACCGAGTACCATCGACCTGCATGTTCTTTGCAGTCCCCCGCCAGCACCAACAGCACTGTGTCCCATCACAAGGCCAATGAAATCAGCGAGAGTTGTATGAGGACCATCCCCAGCCAGTCTCTCCAGCCCCCAATCCTATCAGAACAGTCCGAGCAACAGCCTCCGACCCAGCAGGCACCACTACTGCCCCCTCCTCCTCCTCCCCCCTCCGTGTCACCACCTCAAAATGCTACTGCCAACAGCACCCCTGCCAATGCCACAAAGAGCTCCATCCTGAACTCACCTACCATGTCTAAACAAATCTTTCCCTGGATGAAAGAATCTCGGCAAAACACCAAGCAGAAAAACAGCAGCTCCAGTTCAGGTAATGGAATAGGGGAGGGTTAACTGGAGAAAGCAGGAGGGTTCAGTACTTACTAGCCCAAGCAGCTGATCCACCACCCTCCAAAGTCCTGCTAAACTTCTTGGGAGCCCTGCCTGCCAAGTATTTCGTGGTGTCAGAAAAGAGAGATGAAACGTACCCACTATTTTTACTGGGAAATTGAACCTGTACAAATCTCTTGAAAATCACAAGCATTATTTTATTTCATTTGTGCATACACACACAAGCCCATCTCCAGAGAGTCGGGTGATGAGAGAGGCTTCAGTTTGCTTGATGGTGACCTCTGTTCAACTCTGAAAAAAGAATGTGAAGTTCTCTTTGCTTCTCTCTTTTCAAGCTTGGATGCCTGTTAGAATCATCTTCAACATTCCATACTGCAGCCTCTCCCTCCCCCCCCACCCCCCCTGGCAGCTATTAAACTAGAGCCAGATATGTACAAGCCCCTGGCATGTCTTCCACCAATGTTAGCACTTTTTTTTTGCTTGATTCTATTCCAGCAATAAGCCAGCGACCTATTCCTGCTGAAGCGTAATGAGAATAAAATAGCTCATCATGATCTTCAGTCAAGATCAATGCTTTGTTTGATATTCATAACCTCCTTTGATTTTAGCTCACAGACTGGCAGCCTTATAGGAATGGGAACAAAGCTTAGGTTTCTTTAGCACTCTGAAGGCAGGTCCATAAATACATTATGGGTGGATTACAGTGTTTATCTACAGTGTTATTGCATAAGTAAACCCAAATCGATGAGAAAAGTATTAGCGTCCTTTTCCCCAGGCATTTGGCTTCTACTTATCATTTACTTCTGCAATTTATCTTGGACCAAGAAAGTAGATTCTAAACATTTTTGCAAATGTTTTCCTCAATGCATTTCTAATGCTATCATAGAGTAAAATAATCATAGGCAGGCTTTATTATTTAACATATTCAGTGCTCTATGTTCTATATTTCTCTCTCTCTCTCTCTTCTCTCTCTCTCTCTATATATATGTATATCTTAGTTTACCAAACCAGAATCTATATATCTTGTCAATCAGAATACTAAGAGTAGATGCTAAATGCTTGTATTTGGAAATAACAGCTACTGAACCTTTCAGATAGATATGCTTTAAGCTGCAGCCTTATCTCATCATTAAGTTCAGTAGCCAGAAGCTTAGATACATAAATTAAGCTTAAGCATATAAAACTTGAAAGAACAACTTATATACTTCCAAAAGACTATCCTCTAAGAATCAAAGTAGCTTCAGCAGAGGTTTCTTCACTAATGTGAAGAAAAGAGTAGGGCATTTTTGAAAACGTATTTTTTCTCTCTCTCTCCCTGTAGACACAGAACAATTAAGTAAATAAATAATAAACAGCCTACCCTTACATGTATTTCAAAATTGTCATCAAGGCAGACTATTTTTACACTTTAAGAGAAGGGAAGGAAGTGTCCTCTAGTTGGTCTGGACTGCATTTCCCATAATACCACTACATTGCTTAAGATAATTGGATTTTGCAATGCAAAGCCTCTTCTGAGGCATCAAACAATATATCCCTTTAAACTCAATCACAGATTTGGCTTTGTAACTCTTATTTCATTCTATTCTTTTCAATGGGCTGAAGCTGGCTTTAAACCAAGTAATATTTTGCTTCAGGTCTGCCCAAAGTTACCCTGAGAAGGAAGTGAAGGGAGAATGGATGTTTGCTATCAGGATTATATTTTGATTTTACTGATGTAAGACATCCATATTGTTGACAATAATCCAGCTCAAGTAACCAGGAATTTCTGTGGTTTGGTGCTGAAGAAGAGTAGTCTGACAACCATTAGTTGCCTTGTTTATCTTTCTTGTAAAAATTACATTTCTGAGGAGCTGTTATTTCTAGTAGTTTTTGGAGACTGCATTGTTCCTTTTCTAGAAATGGTTGCCTCAGGAAATCATTACTAGATCAGAGAATTAAAATGGGATGGGAAAGACTAGAATATTACTTAGCCTGGTGGTTTTCAATTCTTATAATCTTCACTCTGCATAGCTATTCTGGGGATAAGAGACTAAGAAGTCAAATATAGTTGGAGGATGCTAGGTTTGGAAGGAATCGGTAATGTTGCCTCAGTGCTCTTATGAAAGCTTGCTAGTTTCAGGATGACGGAGACACCAACCATTCATCATGATTGATTCAACACAGGATGGTTGAATGGAAGAACACCACTTTGACTCAGGCAGAAATGGCCTTTGATCAGTCTTCCTTCCATTTTAAACACATTTGCTATTAGTTTGGGCAGAGTGAGCCATTCTAACAGATCTCACAGTGTACTTGCAAATTTAGCAAGTAAGTAGTTTATTATTATTTCTGGTCATAGTATGCTAGGTATCATCCTACTTATTTTGTTCTTTGTATGATTTGTATAGGTGAGAGTTGTGCTGGTGATAAAAGCCCCCCAGGGCAAGCTTCTTCTAAAAGAGCTCGCACAGCTTACACCAGTGCCCAGCTGGTAGAACTGGAAAAGGAGTTCCACTTCAATAGATACCTTTGCAGGCCAAGAAGGGTAGAGATGGCTAACCTCCTAAATCTCACTGAAAGACAAATCAAAATATGGTTTCAGAATCGCAGGATGAAATACAAAAAGGATCAGAAGGGCAAAGGCATGATGACCTCTTCTGGAGGACAATCCCCCAGCAGAAGTCCTGTCCCTCCAACTGCTGGAGGTTTCCTGAATTCTATGCATTCCCTCGTCAACAGTGTTCCATATGAGCCCCAGTCACCACCATCTTTCAGCAAGACTCATCTGAATACCTACAGCATCACTACATCATATCCGACTCCTATCAATAACTGCCCTCCTCCTCAAAAGAGGTACACCGGAACTGCAGCAGTGACACCGGAATACGAACCTCACCCTCTTCAAGGCAATGGTTATGGCAATCCACATATACAGGGAAGCCCCGTCTATGTTGGGGGCAATTATGTGGATACCATGGGAAATTCGGGACCATCTATCTTTGGTCTAACTCATCTCCCTCACCCATCCTCTGCCAATATGGACTATAGTGGGGCAATGGGCAACAACCATCACCATGGACCTTGTGATCCGCACCCAACATACACAGATCTTACTTCTCACCATCCTTCTCAGGGAAGAATTCAGGAAGCACCCAAACTGACCCATCTGTAATATATCATTGGTTATATAATCTTAAAAGCTTCCAGGTTTTTCTTTTTTTAAGAAATGGAGGGGGACCCCTAACTTTTAAATTCTCTTTCCCATCCCCTATCCAATACAAACAGTTTTATTTGCTTCTGGGTTTTATTCTGATGTGTTTTCCTTTTGGTAAAATGCGTTTTCAAGTTTATGTGACGTAGCAATATTTGTTGCTTGAATTGCTCTCTAGTTTCAATAGTGGATATTTATCTTCTTGAACTCTTGCCTTGTGATCTTGCTTTGAGAGTATACATAGGCTTTATACTCTTAACTTTGACTCTTTTATCAAAACAGGGTATTATGAACAAATTTTCTATACAGACAGTTCTTAAATGTGAATTTGTTCGTACAGAATCAGTCCCATCTGGGAAACATTTTTTATTTTAATTGCACTTCTTTTAGATAACAAGAAAAAAGGGCGCTTGAATAGGGGCTCCTGAGCAAAATGATTAATACGTGTACGTCTTTAATCGTGTGTATGCTGGTGAACTTTCAGATTTATTTATATTTTTCTGAATAATCTAAGTGTTTAAATTTTTTATTTATCCCCATCTGTTCATATTTATATATATGAAGATATTAAAAATAAACTTCTTTACCCTGAATATTCAGGAAATATTGACTGGCTGTATGTTTAATGGCATACAAAGAAAGTATCATTTGAAAAAGGAACCAATATTATTTTATTTTATTTTAAAAATAATGCAATAAAATCTGGAAAACAACACATCAAAGTAGGAAAGTAGTGAATGTCTATAAATAATCTAAGTAGAAAATGGGTAAACCGGGATTTCACAACAACAAAGAATCATAATTTTGTTTTCAAAAGGATACATTCATATTCTTAAAACTAACTTACTAAATAACAGCTTTTATTCTGAATAATAGAAATTTATGATAGATCATTTGATTGCCATCCTCCAGTCTGAATCCAAAGACAAAAGGAACGAGCAAAAGAACGTCGGGAACGATTGAGGCCCCTAAGTTTTAAATGCAAAGCCAACCTTTTTTTTTTTTTTAAAAAAAAAAAACCCTTTCTTCTGACTGGACTTTTAAAGCTGCCAAAATTTAAGTATTTCCAGAAGGTACGGGCGCTGGTCTGTTGCCTTTAAATCGAACAAAGCCTCTTCCAGCACCCCCAAGGCTGGTCGAACAAGCGTTCCCGTCGTTCGCGTTTGAGTCCAGACTTAGAGACAGATTCAGCGAGTAATTTTCCTGAGTCAGCGCTTGCCTGGCGACCTCCCCAAAGAAGAGCCGCATACTCAGGGCGCTAAACTGCTCCAAACTGGAAAAGATCCCGGTTTGTGACCGTGGCTGATTGTCGGCATCTCTCTTTGCAGATGTGTGTGTGTATGTGTGTGTGTGTCCTAGGTGGTCTCAGTTTCTCGCCTTGTCCTCGTCTCTTCAGAGCGGTGGACTCGGATCCAAGACTAGCGAGCTGGGGGAGAAACAAAGGCTGTTTCTGGAGGAGCCTCTTCCTCGGCCGAAGAAGCTCAGGTGCTGTAACATTTCTCTGGAGGCCGCAGGCTGCCCGGCTGCAGGCTGTTCTCTCCTGTTGGCTGGAGAAGCTCTCAGCTCTTTCTCGCCTCCGCGCGAGGGGAAGCGATCGGAGGTTGTTTTACCCGCACACTTTGCCCCACGGGACAAAATGGACAATCGAGAAACGGCGATGGGCCAGCGTGTTGTTTTCCTAAAGAGAACGAAACTGAATAAGAGTCTGTGGACTTAAAACGAATGTGTGGGCTCATATTTGCTATGGCATGGATTCAAAGCACATTTGTTTACAGGCAGATACAATTTTTCATCCCAGTAATGAAGAAACGGATTCCGCAACAATAAATCTGCTCGCGAGGCGACGTGGGCAGCTTTGAAAGAGCTATTCCTATTTCCCCCACCAACTAACCAACTTCTCTCTGGCTACAGCAATTGAGGAATTATTATCATTCCGCACATCTTGTTAATCTAATTTCCTTTCACATCCCAATCTTTCTCATTCTTTCTTGAGGGAGGGGAGGGGGAGGGGGGAGGATAGAACAAAATTATTTATATAATATATAGGTGAATGTATAGAACCCCTTCCATTCATAAATACACACGCACACACACAATTTCTAAACAAGCGTTTCATGCAGCTCAACCGAATCTTTTCCTGTCTCTCAAATACATCTGTGCTAGCAAACATGGAGAATCCATCCCCCCTTTATTTCTAAACAGAGAAAACATGAGATTTGTCGCCTGTCTTGAATTTGTTTAGGAAGACCTCACTCAGTATGTATATGTATATGTATATGGAGGATATGCCACCGTATGATTTGGTTATTTTGTTTAATTTCAATAAATTTGCCATCATATTGGTTTCCCTTTCTAAAATATCAGTCTTTATTTTTTTTCGATAAATAAAATCTCTCTGGTATTTTTCTTCTTTCCTCCCCTCCGTATCTAAAAATCTTCCAGGGGCCGAGTGATTGTGCAATCTACTAAATTCCTCGTTCTAATTTTGCATTCCATACTTACAGTATTTTATTTTATCTTCGCTGAACCATTTTCCTCTATACTTAAGAACTGTGTGGCTCCAGACTGAATAGGAAATCACAAAATCTATTGAAAAAGCAAAACTATTTAAAAGAGAATTTTTGGAGTGGAGGAATCATTTTAAAACTTCTATCTTTTGGAAAAAGATGAAGTAGAAAGGGATTGTGGGCGTTATTTTTCTTCCCCTCTCTTCAAAATTAATTGAAGAAAAATGCATTACATGAATTTATGGCATTGAAGGGGTGAGAGCAAGAGAAAAAGAGGGAGAAAACTGGTATGAGGACAGAAAAACTGACCCTTAGGAAGGTATATAAGACAAAGGAAGTGGGTAACCACCTCCACCTCCACATTCCAATTTGATTTAAAAGACGTGTATTTATTATTTCCCTTCATCCTGCATATAGTTTATCTGCACGAAAATGTGCATACTTACAGAAAATACAAAAATAAGAAAAGAAAAAAAATGCTACTTTAAAAAAGCCAACCAAGAAGAAAAGCTCTTTGTTCCAGGTAGTTTTTCTATTAGATTGTCCACTGGAAAAGAAAAGAACCCACAATCCAGCCTACACACACACACAAAAAAAAAACAAAAGCAAAAATCTTCCCAATATCCTTCCCACACCAATTTAACTCACAAAGCCTCAGTGAACCAAATTGCCCCAGCCGCCTCCCTTGCTCGCCTTACCTCCTTGTGGGATATAACACACAGAAGCTGGGGTGCACACACAAGCGCAAGCAGGCACACACACACACACACACACACACATGCACCCCAGCAACGTCTTGCTGTTATCAATATTCCATAAATAAATAATGAAATAAAATCCTTAGGCCTGTGGCTGTCTTCCAGGCAAGTTAAAAAGCTGGACTTTCTATTATTCATTGAGAGGGTAGAGTAAGGTGAGGTCCATTTGGGAAAATAAAGCAGCAGCATCTCTTTTGCTTATTTACTAGAGTTTCCTCTCTCCCACCCTGGAAACAACCTTTCTTCTTTTTTGCTCAGTCACATTTCATCTAGGAAAGAGCATGAAGCTCGAAATGTGTTCTTAAGGGCCAGAAGCTGTCAAGGCATTTTGGCCGAGAGAAGATTGATCACGCCTAGATTTCAGCAGAGCTTTGTTTGAAGTAAAGCAAGAAATTAAAAAAAAAAAAAAACACCCACCTTCCAACAACGTATATCTTTGTAATGCACCCTCTTTCCTCCCCCTCTATTCTTAAATAATTTCCATCTGAATTTTGCGTTAAGATTATTACAATATATCACCCCTCCCCCCCCTCCCACCTTTCCTTCCATATTGGAAGGGGGAGTGATTCAGTCAAAAACGAAAGAGGCCTGCTGTTCCTTTTCCTTTCGCTCAGAGGTGCTTCATCAGAAGACGAAGCAACCAGTTTATCATTTGAACCCACTTGAACAATTCCCAGCACTAAGTCGGAATCTCAAAGTGGGCTACATTTAGGGAGTCCTCGAAATACATAGGAATACCACGTGGCATTCTTCTCTTCTCTTCTCTTTCCTATGGCATATTTTTCTGTGGAGGAGAGGAAAATACCCTTTTCTGTCCCTTGTTACTGAATCCCCCTGATTCCTTCCATTGTTTCGCCCACTCCTTTCATTTTTATTTGAGGCTGTTCTGTCCTTGTCTTCAGCGTTGTTGAATGACCAAATCGAAAGAAAAGAAAAAAAAATGGTGTAGGTCAAACAACCTTATTTGGAAAGGGGATCCGTTTTATAGTTTTTTCCTACATGATTGATAATAATTTTTAAAACTGATATTGAATGTTGGTGTATTTCATCTAAATTAAGACTTATCTGACCCATTTTTGTTGTGATTAAGGGGAAACAGTGAGGCAGAGCCAACTGAATCCAATATCGTTTTTTGTTAATACTCTGATTTGTAACCGACTGCATTTCTGTGAAAGGTACTTCTATGATTTGGGTGTTTGATGGAAATGCTTAGGATTGTACTATCCAATTCTGTCCAGCCAACTCAAGATATGTACATGACACCGCTGGACTTCTGTTGTTCTGCCTATGGAAGCGAAGTTCCCGGAGAAAATTCCTTCTTTACAATGGATACATGCCAAAATCTGCCGCCAATTGTTCTCGGTACTGTACCGTTCAGAAAAGTGGAGCACCCACCCACCCCCACCCACCCTCGGAGAAATGCAGAGAGATGCCAGGTCTTGAGGAGGGGGTGGGAAAACCCACTTTGTTCTGGTGCTTGTTTTAATTTTAGGAAGCAATTATTTCTTTCTTTAGGACTGGTGGCAAAGGGGAGAAATACAAATAAAATGCAAATCTAAAGTAGGGCTCAACGCTTGGCAACCCAGGCCGGGTGCAACTTTCAGATGCGGTTGAGATGAGGAGCCGGCAATGTCAAAACTTTGAAGATTAATGGATTACTTTGTTAATGACTCAAGGCGTCAGATTGGAGGTGCTT